GAAGTAAGAAGAAACTTCCTGAGGTGGAACGGGCTGCCTTCAGACCTTGTCGGTGCTCCATCACTGGAGGTTTTGAAGAAGAGAATTGGACAGCCGTTTGTCTGAAACCGTATAGGCAGGGCTGGGATTCTACCGGTTCGGACCGGTTTGGGCGAACCGGATGTCAAAGTTACAGCTGGTTCACCGAACCGGTATTTCGGCTGGCCCCGCCCCTCCTTCCCCCTCCCTCCCAGGAATCTCCATGTGGCCCATTTTCGATGGAGGTAAGTACAGGGTCCGTGTGGAGGCTCTGAGAGGGGGGGAAAAATGGGCCTTCTGGGAAAGTCTGGAAACGGGTCTGTTTCCGGCTTCTGGAAGGCCTCCAGAGCCTGTGGGGAAGCCGTTTTCACCCTCCCAGAGGCCTGGGGGAGGCCTCTGGACCCTTGGGAGGGTGAAAAATGCCCTTCCCAGAAAAACCGGAAGTGGAAAAATGGGCCTATTTCCAGCTTCTGGTGGGCCTCCGGAGGCCATTTTGGGCCTCTGGACCCTTGGGAGGGCAAAAAATGGCTTCCCTGGGCTCTGGAGGCCCTCCGGAAGCCGGAAACAGGAAGTTCTGCTAGGCCCCGCCCACCATAGCCCCGCCCACCCAGCAACCGGGCAGCGAACCGGTTGCTGGGATTTTTGAATCCCACCCCTGCGTATAGGTTCTCCTGCTTGAGCAGGGGGTTGGACTAGAAGACCTCTAAGGTCCCTTCCGGCTCTATTCCGATTGATTGATTGACTTTGGGAGGAGGCTTTCCCTTCAGTTGAAGATTCCGGAGGGGTGTTTTTTTTGCATGGCGGATCCTGCCAGACCTTCTGCTGTCTCTAACACAAATAAGCCATTAAGCAACAAGTTAGCGCGAGAAACCTGAGCCAGAAACCAGGCAAGCCGAAATCTGTAAACTATTTGGAGTAATTGGTTATTTGCTGTGCTTGCTAGTCTCCCATCGGAGAGGGATATTTTATGGCCTCTCCAGTTACTCTTCCCTGGAATAGTCACCGGGATCGGGTGTCTCCAGCTGAAGCTGGATAGCTGATACCCAGGGCCGAGAGAGTGGGATGGCAGCCTCACATTCCTGCGGTGGCCTCCCGTGGATGTAACCACATCGGGGCTCCCTGTGTGGGGTGGAGCTGCCAAGGCCGGGCTCCCGAACCACAGAAGGATCCTTCTGCCAAGCGTTGTCGCTTGAAGCCCTCAGCTAAATGGGATGGATGCGAGATGTTTTATACAAGGCCATGTCCGTTGAGATGTTTCTCCAAGAGCGGAAAGGCATCAAGACAGCTTCTTGGCTTGTCCCCTTGCTAGTCTGGAGTAGAAGACCTCCAAGGTTCCTTCCAACTTCTGTTATTCCGCTATAGTCCTCTTGACGTCCCCCTCAACATGGACGAATCGGGGAGGCAAGGAGGTGTCATCCTAGTTGGGTTGGGTCCCTGGGGATGGCATGGACCAGAGGTGATATTCAGCTGGTTCGGACCAGTTCTGGAGAACCGGTAGCAGAAATTTGGAGTAGTTTGGAGAACCGGCCAATCCCACCTCTGACTGGCCCCATGAACCCCATCTCTTCTCTGGCTCCCATTGTGTCCCAGCTGATTGGCTGGGTCTCCTTTGGTTGCCCTGCACAGGAGAAGGGAGCTGGAAAGCAGGTTAGTGGGGTGGGGAGGGAAGGGGGATTTTGAAGCATCCTTCCCCTGCCACGCCCACCAAGCCACACCCACAGAAAAAGTTTTTGAATTCCACCACTGGCATGGACTACCTTGATTTGTCCCCAGAAAAAACGTGTATGGCTTCCAAGGACATTCCAGTCCTGCCCTTGAACTGTTGTTTCCTTTTGTCAACCTTAGCAAGCATGATTGAGTTTTTCTTGGTCTAACAGTCATTCCTGCATTTCTCCACGGGAATAGTTGCCGTGAAATATTAACCGGCTTCCCTTTGAGCCTCCAATCTTCCCCCTTCTTCATCGCGGGAGGGCCCTCCGCTTCCATCCAACCAGGTTTCATCGTTGATTTAGGGAGTTGGGGTGGTCTTAATGTCCCTCCGCGAAGTTGGATTGTCTCCTTCTACCATGTATCTCTGGAGGAGCACCCGAAGACACTAAGCCAGCATCTTCAGAAAGCAGCTTGATGGTTGAACCATTGTCAGAGATGTCTGGAGGGGGGGTTAGTTTCCACCCAATTGAGCTCCACAGTTCATGGTGGGGTGGTCTCTGCATCCCTCTGTCAAGTTGGATGGCGTGGTTCTGCCACATATCTCTGGCGAATGGTCCAACCTGCAGCTGATTTCTGAAGGTGCTGGCTTGGTGTCTCTGTGTGTGACGTGATTGGCCTCCAAGAAGGAAGCCCTTGGACGATCTGGAACTTAGATCGCCTGCGGTCCGATCTAAGCATAGGACACAAAATTGCACCCCATTTTTCCCCTTCCTCTCGGCAACCTCGTTCCAGAAACCAGCACAAAGTTCCCCGCCCACAAAGTATATTGACTGTTTCCTAGTATGATTTGATTGCTTATTGTACCCAATGGCTATTATTAAATATTGTACCTCATGATTCTTGACTCTTGATGAATGTATCTTTTCTTTTATGTACACTGAGAGCATTTGCACCAAGACAAATTCCTTGTGTGTCCAATCACATTTGGCCAATAAAGAATTCTATTCTATTCTATTCTATTCTATTCTATTCTATTCTATTCTATTCTATTCTATTCTATTCTATTCTATTCTATTCTATTCTA